TCCAACGGTTCGCGGTTTCGTCGAATTTCTAGGTTCGGATTTTGGATTTTGCTTGTGAGGAAGTTCGGATCGTGGATCTGAACGATCGTCAGAAATGCGTTGTTTTCTGAGTATGTGTATTTTTTTGTCACGGACGAGACTCTCTGCATGTCACGCATCAGGGAAATAGTAACGCACTGAACCGTCTGCTGTGTTCGCGCCCTTATCCATGACACTGTACCCCACCGATTGCGATTCGCTCGATGGGAAAGCCATTGCCTAGCTAACACACAACAACTCAAGGTGCGTTTTTCACCTTTGTACGAGACAATTAGCGAACGGATTCGGATTTAACAATATTTTTTAACGGATTGACGGATTTGGTTATCAAATCGTAGCGGATCAGCGGATTTGCATACACCTATTCACCCCCCCTCTTTAAGATGTATGCCATTTTAATGAAAATGTACCACCACTTAAAGACCTTTAAATAGCACTATGTTCCTAAAGAATATTTTAACACAAAACTCTGATGAAATTACATCCATCACCTTGGAAGAAGATAAAGTATGCTTTATTAACTTTTTGCTTAAGTAAATCAGTGTTCCAGTTTTGTGCAAACAACTCGACAAGCTCTTCAAACACGTTTTCAGCTTGGTTGGTATCTTCATTTTTAATTTTCATTAATTAAAAAAGCCACTCCTAGAGACGATTTATATCATATTATTGCTCAACCGTTTTTTTTTCTTCTACTTTTTGTGGGTTTACTTATTCAAGATCAAGAATAGCCTTTTTCTGGAGGTGATCACTGATATCGAGATTTTTTATAATTTTTTTTTTCAAAAACGTTCGGCGGCAAAATAAAAGGAACGGAATGAACTGATGATGATAACGAAAGAGTTTGAAAATAATGCAAGCAACGAGAAGTTCATGGGTATTCCCACTCAAACTTTCGAGGCAGATGATAATTTTTACAAATATCAAAAATCGGTTCGGTGTTCGGTCACACTTAAAGGACGAGGTTACCCATGGCATCTGAAAATTTTAAGCACTTTAAGGCGAGACTACCATTAAAATAGGAAATTTTGGATCTCTGAGATATGCCTGGCTGTATGTTTTTTCTTTGTTCTGAAAAGCCAGAAGATTCTTCAGTTACCGAAATGTAATTCTTTTTTCCGATCCGATGTTTAACCCAGTTGCAATACCTTTTAGCCCTTCCAATTGTAGCTGAGTTTAAAATAATCATGATTTAACCTCGTTTTGATCCATGACACCAAAAGAATGATATAAAACAAAATTTTATTCGCTTAAATAAAGAAATCCTTTAATTAAAAGGGGTAATTTAAATTACAACTGAAGAGATCAAGAAAGGTGATAAAGGAGGTTGTCCTACATTCATCTCGTAAGCACAGATAGGCGAACATTTTACAGTTGTCAATTTCATTTGAGCTTAAAATATTTTCGTACTCTAGATCTTTGATTGTCCTTGTGGTCACGCTTCCTGAAAAATCGCATTGGTAATTAACATCATCGATCTTACATAGATTACAGAAATTCCCGTGAAGAGTCTCAGATCAAATCTCTTTCTAATCCAATTTCTTTTTTTCTTGCTTGAGTTAAAAAGTCACGACAAAAGAATGAAAGACCTCTATGCTACGATCGACGGTGGACTGTTGTCGGTTATCTGTTGTCAAAATTTGGGTAGGTTGCCATCTATTTTATTCTTCGAATAGATCAGTGAAATGTATTTTAGTCGGTCCATGCCTAATATATGTCGTCTCAGCTAACGACCAAACGGCTCCAGATCAAAACCCTCCAGCTGTTTGAATGGTTTTGTCTGTTTTCGTTAGAGCCGTCTTGTTGTTACCTAAAATAAAACTGTATTGGTCCAAAACTGTAAGGCCGCATTTGATGCGATTTCAAACCAATTTTAACCTTTTTGGAATCGTGGGAGAGTGTCTTTTTGGATTAATCACGAAACAGACATCTTTACTCTGACTAGAAGCGCCTTCAGCTGCGTGAAGAGAAGCTTAGTTAGCCCAAATCAACCCTCAAATCTCCAACTTATCATGTCCCAGACCACGAGAGAACCTCTTTGTCAGTTTCGTTGTCATCGTTTTTTCATTAGTAATCGGAATCGTCGTTTGACTGCAAGAGCTTTTCTTCGCAAGGTTCAACCGAGCAGGCAACTTCCATTTCTTTAATCGACGCTAGCTAAGTGCGATGTTTTATTACGCATAGTAGAGCTTGCGGAAGAAAGAAATTATTCGCTGTCGGTCATCAGTTCAAGAGTATTTCGAGGCTAACCACAACAAAATTACAAAAGGCATAGAAGATGTGCAGGCGTCGATTAGGACTTTTTAATTTTCTAGGAAATCAACTGCTAATCGACGGAACCACCTCTTTGTCATATCTGCTTGTTCAGCCAGCGTGTCACATGAGAGAAGCGTCATTCCCCTCAAGAGAGCTATCCAAAGAACTTAAACTCTCATTGCCTGTGCTCATCTTTGCTCACACTTTTAATTGAGCCATCAAGGCAGCCACAAGGCTCTATGCCAAAATACACTGAACCTCATTCAGTTGTGGATGGTTATTGATCCAAACGTTATTCCTCTGATCATAATTAATAGAGGTATAATTTGATCTAAACAGGAGCCTCATGGGCTGCAGTTCAGTCTCTTGATGATTTGGATACCCGCATGAGCTTTTATTTTGAGCATGAAAATAGAAATGGCGCTAACGATAGTTGAAAAGTAGTTTAGTTTCTCTGATTTTCTTCTTATGGGCCCATTTCCAAGATTTTCCTGATGCTTCATCGATTCATCAACCACTTAAATGCTACAGGCTAATAAAAGAATGATTCACGCAACCTGAATGTTAATGGCACTCTAACTATGGAAACTTGAAATAATTCGCCCAGGTTAAGCTGGGCTGGTGTTTATGGAGTTTTTGCAGGTCTATTTCAACATTCAGTCAGCCAGCCATACGAATATTACCTGTCGTAATATCATGTTCAATTCATCTTGTCCAATTGTTATATAGATCCTTTCTCAATTTGCAATTGAACGGAAGAGAGTTCATGCGGAATTCATCAAGTTAGCTTTCGTTCTGGCCAAGTTTTCTCCGTTTTTACGCATAAATAAAAACGCAAAGAAACTTCGTCTTCAAACAGGCCCAAGACAAATATTTGGGTAGCACAGCGTCAAATGATTTCGCTGATGCAGGTTTTGAAGGTCATTTTCGAAGGTCTTTCAAATATCATTGCACGGCGCAGCGCCAATAACTCAAGCACAGAAACGAACTATTTAAACGCGAAAACGTGAATCTGGCTGCTTCTTTCGATATGAAGCGACATGATTTACTAAAAAAAATTCCAAAAAATTACTGTATTCCTTAACTAAAAAATTCAGGATATGTAAAGCTTCAAAGTGCCTCTGTCAACTCACACGGCATCATAAACTTTAATTTAACTCTTTTATCAGCAGTTGTGCCCATAAAGACTTTGTACTAAGAACATAAAGGCCAAAGTTGACTAGAGAATCTTGCAGTTAAATTAAAGAAAATAACGGCAAGACACTGTCAATTCCATTCATGAAGGAAAGCTTTTGTTATCTACCCCATTAAAGAACTATTTACTCACGACAGACCCTGTTGGGTGTTAAAATCGACAAATCGATGTCGGATTTCCATCAGTGAAAATAAATATATCGGGATGAAAATTTTAAGTGATTTTAATGCCTGTACGGAAAGTTATGAATTCAGGCATATCTTCCTTATTCGCCCGCTATTTCAACATGACTGCATATTTGAGAGCCATACTGAACAATTTCAAAGTCATGTATCTGAAATATACAAAGGAATTATCTGCATGCAATGAAAGGAAGAGACAAGGTTACGAGATAAGAATTAAATTGACAAGTTCAGAAAAGCAATTTTTTCTTCTAATTACGTATGCTAAGAAAATACGGTGAAGTGAAATGTTGACGCCATACCAAGTTTTCCTGCAACCTAAAAAGTTGTTTTAATAGGTTGAGTCGTGAAAGGACCCTGCGGCGAGTCCTTTTCTAATTTCTAGTCGTCGAGTAATTCATGTAATGCAGGTAAGACTCATATTTTCGTTTCCTTTTCCTCCCATCCACGAAGTCAGTACGAGCGCTTTCTATTTCGCAAACTCTAACTGACGTTCTCAGATAACGTTTAGGCTGAATAATAGATGAAAGTTTTACCAAACAACGGTTCATCTTTCTCGAAGAAAAGGCTCATGCAAGGTTTTCAACCTCTCGTTTATTCCACATCAAAGATGCCTGGGATTTTACGTTTTCGTCCATTGGTTCAACTATGCCATGATCGCATACCATTTTGAATATTACCTTATGTAGGTATCTAGTGCAACAACTTCTCGACGCAAAACTTTCTGTTAGAAGTTTCTCCAAACAGAGTAAGTAGAGTTTGCATTTACGTGCGTGTGAAATTCCCACGGTGACAGCATGTTACCTCAAATGCCATTGGCAACCGGTTAGAGTGAAGGCGTTTGTTATGATGGGGACTAGAGTTTCATGTAATATGTCCTAATTCGATGGATAAAGAATCAATTATCCCTAGATTCATTACGTTATGGGTTACATTATATTATGAACGAATCTATCATCTAGAATTCTCAATCGATTTCCTAATCACACTAATCATTGATCAATCAGTAGCCATAGTGGCAGATGTTCAGTTCATAAGTAGAATGTTCAAGCATCCAATCCGCTGTTGTCATCCAATCTGTTGCGGTTTGGTTCACAGTTCAATCCCCTTCCTCATCGTGAGCAAGATCCTCCATACGCAATCTTGCTGCCACGGCTGCATCACACGAAGGCCTGAACGCTGGCGCTTCGATGCGCAACTCGGTCGTTGGAGGTCTGTCACCGTCTCACGGTCGATCACATGACAGTTCTAACAGATACAGCTGCTGTACTGTTCGCTCTAGATGTGAAGTCCCTGTGCGCAACCTTGCTCCCCGGACAACACCATCACGACTTTTGATTAGTTCCGTGACGATCCCTACCTTCCATTTTCCACGATTCTTGTCATCCGACTTGATCAGCAAGACCTCGTCCACACTAGGATTGTGTGTTTTCCAGGATTCTTTAGACGATGGCGTTCGCGCAGCCCCTTTACGTATTCCCCGTCCATCGTCTCCAGACGGCCTCCTTGCATCGTCTGAGATACTTTGCTCGCTTGCGTAATTCACCGTCTTATATGCGGTGTGGTTCCAACTCGAGAAGTGCATTTGGTTGACCAAACAATAGGGAGTGGGGGTCAAGATCGGTAGCTGCACATCGTCCTCTACGTAATTTAATGGTCGGTTGTTGACTGCAACCTCCACGTCTAGTATAGCCTCCTCTAACTCGGTCCACGTTAGGAACCCGTTTCGAGTGGTCTTCTGTAGACTTCTCTTCACCAATCCAACCATTCTCTCGAACTGCCCTCCCCACCAGGGTGCTCTGCTCAGGTTGAATTGCCACTTGATTTCCTGACGGGAGAGGAATTCGTTGAGGCGTTCATCAGTCATGACTTGTTTCAGCCACTTAGCTTCCGCGACGAAGGTACTCCCGTTGTCTGAGTAAATGTTCTCTGGTCGGCCACGTCGGGCAGTAAACCGAAGGAACTCTCCCTTTTCTAGGCTGGATGGTAGCTCAAGGTAAATACCTCTGGTCAGGCTACAGGCGTAAAGCGCTATGTAAACTTTGCCTTCTTGATTTCTCCCCTTTCTATACTTCAGTGGTCCGGCGAAATCCACTCTGACTACTTGAAACGCAGTTTTTCCTTCGGTACGATCCCTTGGTGGCTGTCCTGGTGGCGTAGCCGCGAACGCTGTGGCGCGGAACCGCTTGCAGCCGTTACAGGCTTTAACGACTCTTTTTGCTAGGCGTCGCAACCAGCGAACCCAGTACCTTTCACGAATCTTTGCCATTGTGAGGCTCACTCCCCCGTGGAGTGTCCTGATATGCGCGTCTGCAACCATCTTCTCCGCGAACGGATGAAACTCAGGCAAGTAAATGGGATAGTCTCCCTGAATCCGCCCTTGGAATTCCAGTAACCCGTTTGCATTTTCTTGTAGGTTCAGATGTACACAATGATCTTCGAACCGCTCCTCTCTCTTCAAATTTACTTGTGCTCGCTTTAGCCACAGGTGTCGCTGCATCTCAATCTCCTTTGTCGTGAGTGGTCCCTTAGATCTTCTCGTCTTTTCGCTCCGTAGGTTATGCATGAAACGTGTCACCCAAGCACAAACCCTCAGGGTTTTCCATAAGTTGAACTTGACCAGCAAAGCGTCTAGGATGTCTGTCTTAGCTTGTGCTACAGCGAATACTTCCCGTATCACGTTTGCTTCCGCCTGACTGTCTGGTGTGGCCGTTGTCTTAATATCGGCTGGCCATCGCTCTCGTTCTAGTAGCCACTCAGGCCCTCTCCAGCATAGCTCTTGGTTTTCCACGCCTCCGCTCCGACTGCGAAGGTCACCTGGGTTGTCCTTTGTACCCACATGGCGCCAGTTTACTTCTGGGTTTTGCTGGATATTCTGCACTCGATTGCTCACGAACTGCTTGTAGCTCGCTGCTCCCTTAATCCAATGTAACGCAACGCTGCTGTCCAACCAGCAGAACATATTTCCAACTGGGAAACCATCTAATGCTTCCTTAACGTTCACAATGAGA